TCTCGCGTACAGGTAAGCACAAACTGACGTATTCCACACGTTACTTGTGCCGTCCATTGCGGTACATCCGCTGTACAGGCGATTAGAGCGACCGCGCCTTTGTAGCAATTGTAGCAACCTGTAAGGGTCGTTGATACGACGTTACATGTGAATTGCCTTACTTCGCGTTCTACTTGAAGTACCGATGGAGGGACATGTATGGCCAGCTCAACGAAAAAAGCGGTGGTGTGAATTACCGGTACGTTTTTAGGGCCGGCCTTTATGACTTCCATTGGGAAGCGGCAGCGGTAGCGTTTTTGACAAGTGACGTGTGTGGGTAATATCGTTGTGCGTGCAATAGCACGAAACTGTATCCTCTGCTGGCGTGCATTTACAGGTGTCCTGTATGCTGCAACTGTTGATTGAGGTGTTTGAAATTTGAAGGTTTTGACGTGCAGGCATAACGGCATAACGCACGTACAGGCTAAATGTGATGTCGTCATCGTATACCGTTGTTCGGTTATTTAATAAGAAGCGCTTATAGAGAAGAGGATTATGGGAAAAAGCAAAGGATGTAACCTCTACTTGAATATCGGCGGCTATTGACGTATGACATGTTTCATCGTTGGTTATAAATTGACGAAGGTTCATCGTCATGTCGTTGAATAGTTTCTTGCATAAGTGATATTTCTCAATGAGGGACTCAGTAGAGTCATCTGTCAGTAGGACATTGTCCACGTAAAGGTTCTCATTGAGCTGTTTTTGAAAGCTTTTTTTGAGGTTTGGATGCTGTTCGATGCCATACTTGATCGATATTCCCTAACAGAAAGGGGGAAGCATTGATGCCAAATGGTAAACGACAGAAGCGCAAGATTCTAAGGTTATCAGGCGTTGGAGGTTGGTTGACATCCTTGAGCCATAAGAATCGAACAGCATCCCTTTCCGTCTCTTGAAAATGGATCATGTGAAATGCCTTTTCGACATCTGCGATTAGTATTTTTGATCCTATCCGGGATCGTATGAGGACCCCACACAAATTAGGAAGAATGAGAGGCCCTTGATGAATCACATCGTTAAGGCTGAGTTCTCCTTTCATCTTTGAAGAAGCGTCGAGAACGATGCGTGTTTTCGTCGTAGCGCTTTCCGATTTGATGACTGCTTGATGCGGAATATAATAGCACGGTGTTGTGCTACTAGTTGGAGGGCAAGGAGCATCTTCGATGAAACCTTTCTGGAACTGATCTGCTATTATCTTGCAGTATTCCGTCCATCCATCAGGATTGCGCTCCTTCATTTTGAAAAGTTGATGTAGGCGGCTCAGCGCGAGACTGTAATTATCGGCGAGACGATCCCTGTTCTGTTTCCAAGGGAAACGTACGAATATTTTATGGTCTTTGATTTGAACTGTAAAGTAAAACTCTGCTATTATTTGACTATTGATTTCTTCATCTGTGCTCATGTCTTCGATTCCGATTGTGTTAATTTTCCACAAGTCGGAAATGTCTAGTTGTCCAGCGTCGAGCAGACTGCACATCTGGACGAAGCGGTCGCTGAAATTGTCATCCCCAGAAAGTTCGATGTCTTGAACGGGAGCTCCTGACAGCACCGGACCGAAGAACGTTGGTGTCATAAAAAGTCCTGATGGGAGACGGATCACCGGTTCGTTCAGTTTCATTATAATGTTAAAGTAATCCATTCCAATGAGTACCTCAGGTACGACCGTACCAGCGAGTAACGGCGAGATGTGTCGAAGTTCCTCCTCGTTGAAATGTTCTTGAAGGAACAAGTAGTCTTGCGATGGGATCGGTCCCATGTGAAGTGGAGGTGTTATTTGATCAATTGTTAAGAGGTCGATTGGGAGTGATTCCCCTTTTGAATTACCGAGGGTCGTACTCACCTTTTAAACCCTTCTTTTCTCGGCTCTTCCACCGAAGGTGTTCACTAAAATGGAGGTTTTCCGTTTGAAATTTTCAGTCTAGCTCGAGAGACGTAGATATGAAGGACTGATCTGAGGCCGAGTCAAGGAGTGCGTAAACAGGCTCGTGATCTTGACCCTGGATAGTTTGCAGATAGACGGGAGCGATCATTAACCGCACATGGGTGCTGTTTACGAAGGCTGCTGTAAACTCCTCATCGATTTCAGCTGGCTTACTTTCTTTGACCTGAAGGTTCACCCTGACATTTCCGACAGAACTCTTTCGTTCCGGTGATGGACCGAAACGAACTTTCTGGTTTCCGGCGCGCTTTCTTGAAGGTGAGGGAGATCGATTATCAATAGGCTTTTTGAAGGGGGTTTCTGGTAGCGATCGTGGTGGGGACCATCGCGAGCTACTCCCCTGTCGGTATGAAGTGAAGCCTTCATTTTTAAAGAGTGGCCTTCTAGGCGAAGAACTTCTGCTCTTGAACGACCTTCTGGGTGAATAACTTTCGACTTTGATATCTTGGGAAGTTTGAACGATAACGCTTTTGTGCTTGATATGGCGACCTGTAGCGCTTTTAGAATTTTGAGGGTAACCCTCCTTCCGTCGTTGATTCTGGTAGCAGATGACTAGATTGTGTGGGCCCCCACACTGAGCACAACTCCGCTTTCGGCAGAGAGCCATGGTATGTTTGCGGCTAAAGCACTTCCAACAAGCATTGAGCTCGCGTAAGCGCTCTATCTTCTGCTTGATGCTGGCGTATTTGGCGCAATACTGAAACTTGTGCTGCTGACCGCAACCGGTACAGTATATTTTCGTTGCCAAAGCTGTGGTCGTGTGGAAGATTGAATGTTCATCATGATACGGTTCTCTCATACTGTCTACATGTTCCTTTCGCTTTATAGCAATTGTCAGGTTTTCCAGGAGATCCGTCATACTCCACAGGGTTCCAGAATCAAATTCTTTTCTGGCCATTTCATCTTGAACATTTTTGGAGAATGTTTCCAGGACCATCGCTCGCAAATTAGTGGTATTCACTGTCTCGCCTTGGTTTTCCAGAGTGGCTATAATAGCTTAAATGTCACTGAGGTTATTCCTCAGAGAGCGGTGGTCATCTTGACATTTCTTCATAGATTTGAGCTTGCGAATCATTTGCATGGTTACTCGCCGTGGGTCTTGATACTGATTCTTTAACTGAACAACAGCCCTCTCGTAAGATTCTCCTGTTCTTGGTAACATTTAAAGGTGTCCTTGCTGCATCTCCTTTGCAGCAATTGAGCAAAATGGACAGCTTCTCATATTAGAGTAAGGCTGTTTGTGCACCAATTCCTCGAATAGCTCCCAAAAGGAGTCAAACTTCCAGGATTGCCATAGAAGTTTGGAATCTTGAGTTCGTTACCTAGTAGCCTCCGTTCCATTGACCATGTATACGGTAGTGGAGGCGGCGGGTCTGAACCTCTTGGTTGATGTTGATTTTGATATGGAGCTATTGAATCTGCACTCGTTGGGAGATCCAGTTTGAGGCCCACTTCTTGACATTGAAGTTCCACCAAGCGCTTCTCCAGTTTACGTTCCACCTCTTCCGCGTGATATAGCAGGGTATCCCCTTGTCGCGCGGACCAGTACTCATCGAACTGCGCCTCGACGTCGGATTTGAGGCCTTGAGTGAGGCCGCTGATGGTTTGATTACATTCTGCGTAGTATTGAGTGATGTCCTCTCTGCGCTGTGCAATCTTTGACATCAAATTTTTGACAAGTATATTTTTTGAGATTAGAAAAAGCTCCAGTTCTTGAGCTTGAACAGGGAAATTCCAAGGGTCTTGGAACTCCTGAGCTTCTTGCAGTAAGCCGGAGAGGGCGTTAAGATGCCGCGTCAGCTTCTGCTTAGCTGTTTTGAGGATAAACGGTGGTTGTGGCATGACCATTTCCTCGTGCTACTGATGCTTTCTGGGAGCACTGCGGCTGTGTCTTGTGACTGCCAGTGCAACAACGATAAGCAGGCCACGATTATATGCGCTAGTGTTATCCTCTCGGCTTATCTAAATGAAAGCTGCTTTTGAAATATTGTGAGAATTTGCGATGCGAACATGCGTTTTCTTCCGTTATTGAAGGAATGTTCTGGAGGATTCCTTATCTACTTTTGTTGTGAGAACAGTGGAATCCTTCATCGAATATGTTTTGATAACTGAAGTGTAGCGTTGACTCCCAAGATTTCCGAGGAGCTTGATTCCTCGAACGCTTTCCCCTTGTTTTTTTTTGCAAAGGAGCGGTCTGAGGGCATTGAGAGGTGTCATTTGGCATCAGATATGGTGGTCATTCTGACAGGTATACAGTAGTTATCGTAGCAGAGTTGAACTTACTCACTCAAAGAGTTTTCCAAAGAACTGATAGAGAAAGGTCTGGGAGAAAGAGCGTTGGAATTGACTTTTCATAGGTTTTCAACGGGAGCTGAGATCATGAAAATATTGTGTTGATGCAGGGGGCATTCTGCCGAGTTCTCCCCTGTTTTGGACGACTAAAGTCTCTCCCAATTCTTTATGAGCTACCTCCTCATGATAATCGCAGAAAAGGACGCGCGCGCGACCAGCATTGTAGTATCTTGAGTCCGTGCTGTTATGCGGACGTATCAACAAGCATTCGCGAATGCAGACAAAATATAACAAATAAAGGATAATGTGTAAACAGGTACCTGGTTTCCTGGCCAGACTATCGGACTGCCACCGGGATTTCTTCGAGTTGCCTTCTCATCACAGTTGTCGTTACCGCGGTAGTGTGTAACCTAGCCACTCAGTAAAAGCAATTGAAAACAAGGAAATAAAAATGAGAATACAATGAGATCGACGGAATTCTGAACGTCCCAGGCAAGGGTACTTACAAGGCATGCAGTTTGGGCCCTAAACTGCACGCCGTAAAAATTGAATTTGCATGGGAGGGAAATCCGTACTGGCCATTCAAAGTTTCGTTTTTTGCGCTTCTACTGGTTTTCCTTTTCTATGATAATAGTTGACCTTTCCTACCTCGTTGTGGACGCTCTGCAACCGATCTTGTCGTATCCGTCAAAAATATCACTCTGTGGTTGACCGGATTCCTGTTGGGCGATATATGCAAGCATTTTGAGCATTTAGTATTGCATTTTCCTCAATAGAGGACTTGAAATGCGGCCGACGTTGAGCATTTGTGGAAAAATTGACCGGAAACTCAGTTCGGCCGATGCACCATGTTCTGAGGGCATCACTCCTCAGATGTGGGTTGGTGGTTCTAACACTTTACTTTTCTTGTATTCTCTTTTACATTACACGCAATAACGTAAAGTTATATATTTATTTCATACTTACAATCGAATTAAACTCAAGTTAAAGTTAACATTTCAACTACAAAATTTGACCATTCATTTGACATCCTTTGAGTTTGGTATTCTTGACTAGCTTTGACTGATATTTCTTGACTAGGTTGACTAATGTTTCTTGACTAGATTTGACTAGCATTTCTTGACTCCCTGAGCATTAGCTTGGATTCCATGACCGTTTAAGTCCCTTCTACCGACTCAGGTGGGTCCGCCGATTCAAGCAGTTATGCTAGACCGTGTCCGGTCTCACGTGGGGATCCTCGATCGGTGCCCAACATGCTGCCTGACATCTCCCCCGGCTGTACGACTCTGCCCGATGATATGGGCGTTCCCACCTTCGATTCGCCCGCTGCATGCCTTTCCAGCGAGGGCGGGTGAAAGCAATAGCATCATGACATTGCTCATGACACTCGGGGACGAATCTAACAGACCTTTGGCCTCTCATACTCCCCTTGTTGAAAGGAGTTATGGCATTGCGGCGATTTTGGGGGCTTAGCAGCGAGGATTAATCCGAATTTTTTTGTGGAGGATTAATCCGAATTTTTTCCAAAATTAGAAGCGGTGTTGTACCTATGAATGTTCTCAAAGCTAAGAGGTGCTGCCTCACTTGGAGGGTATCTTGCCAGTCCCCATCGACATGGAGGCTTGTACACTCTTGTGAAACCGCGAAATGACATTCAGTGAACTGTACAGGCCGTAAGCTTGTGCAGTGCTAGAACTGCCATGTATATCACTTGCAGTTTCATTGAAGTTAACGGACCTCACAAAAGTGAAGCTGAACAAACTAGCACACCATCATCCCAGTACCACCCAAGAAACAGTGCCGAACAGTTCTCAGGGTCTACTGGTGTAGCAGTGAAGAAGGAAGGAAAGTTTTATTTCAACCTTGAAAGAAATCTCGAGGAGCTTGGAGGAGAGTCTGCGGATTGTGCTGTCGCGAAGTCGCGGGAGAAAAGGCAAACCAAAGGCTGAGTCAAAGGCAGCTGGCAAAAGCGAAGTTAAACAGTCAAAGAACTGTGAAGGAGAGCCTTCGCTCTCACTGACTCAAAAAGCAATTTCGGACCAGTTCTCCATTGGCATCTTGCCAATAACCGCTGCGGTAGGTACGGCTGCACGCATGTACTCATGTACCCATGCAGCACCATAGCCACTTCATACCAATCCCTCCGCTTCATTTTTTACTTGGCCAATGAAGTAATACGAGCATCAGGGTCGTCCATCTGTGGGTGCGTGGGCGTGGAGAGCGTTCGGATCGGTATGTTGTAGCTTGACAGGGCCTTATGAGGGCACCCCCTTAAGACGCTACGCAGCGCCTGCTCAGGGTCGCAAAATTCCCCCATGCTAGGCGTTCTAATCTACTGCCTTCAACAAAAGCCAACGGTATGTTCTACTGCCATGGATTTCTTTGAAGGCTTTTTGAGTTCGAATTTCAGGTTGTCATTTTTTGGAAGTGATGCCACAGCTGATGTGGCTGGTTTCTGGAGGACGACATTTCGAATCATTAGTGCTTCACATCCGTCGTAAGCGCGCGTGTCGCGTGCGGCTTTTTGGCACTTGTCAAGCTTTAATCGCGCAAGTTAAACGCAATTTCCTGATGCGGATAACATTGGAGGTGCTACAAAATAAGAACAGAAGATGATGACGAGGGCCAGAACTCAAGAGCAACTCGGCTGCATCTGCAGTATCCATCAGAGGCCGCGCATTCCACAAAATGAGAATAAAAACAACCAAGCGTCCCACTCGTTTGTTCTAAGTATTTCTATGGCTTTGGCGCCGGATTCGCGCCGGATCGTAGAAATTTACAGGCGATTTTAACTAATTTGCCTTTCCTTGATTTTTTCATTTTTGTTTTATTTACATTTACATCGTTGTGCTTCATTTCTAGCCTGTGTCATCTTCATCTCCTTGTACATGGATTTTGAAGCATGAGCAACACCTAAAATTTTATTCGCATCAGGAAATTGCGTTTTGCTTGTATCAAACTAACGAGTATGCCGTTTTATTTTCATGTTTCGTGGAAATACGCGGCCTCCGAGGGATGTTGCAGAAGTGGCACAGTTGCTTTTAAGTTCTGACCCTCGTCATCATCTTCTGTTCTTATTTTGCAGCACCTCCAATGTTATCCGCATCAGGAAATTGCGTTTTACTTGTATTCGAAAGCGCAATAGGACTTGGCAAAGTGCCAAGGAGCCGCAAAAAGGTATAAGGCGGAGCATGGAGGAATTAGCGTGTTTCACGGTCCTGTATCTCCATTCCTGGGCATGTTTGGGCGGGGGGACCACGACACATCGACAGCTGGGGGGCTGATAGTCTCATACACCCTCAATGTGTATGAGCGTACTATGTGTCTTTAAGCAAAGAGAGGCGGAGCTGGCGGTAAAAGGATCGTAGTTGTGATCGGCTTCCCTCCATTTAGATTAGTCTCAGATGTGCTTGGACGCAGTACACTCTGAACACTTTTCAGGGACGTCTATCTTAAGTGGGCAAACTCGTTTCACCCCAACTGCCGAGGATAGTTGACCTGACCCACCTCTGGTTGAGCGGACTCGGCTGTCAGCGAGCCACAAAGGGAGGAACAAGAAGTCAAACACGTTACCGATCACGTCAAGACCAAGCGTTCAAGGGTCATGTTAATGTGTAGAAGCATAGGAAAGTACGTTCAACAGCGCACGAGGAGGAGCAAAAAAAGACACTTCCCTTCTTCGACTTGAAGTCACTATCACGATGCTCCGCAACAGCCTTCTGACCGAACGCCATAGAGAGGTTCTGCCACGCCACCGTGATTCGGTACCAGAGTCCAGCGAGGTCAGGTACCGAACCACGGCGGTACCTGACCTCGCTGGACAGGGTGGTCTACAGTGCCGAATCTTCACTGTAGACCACCCTGTTGAGCGCCTCCCGGACCCGGTAATCGAAGAGGTCATGCCAGGTGACACACTTGGATATTCCGTCTTCTTCAGGTACTCAACGCCCTTCATTCCAAGTAGGCGAGAGTTTTTCCAACGCCCTTCGATTCCATGTGGTGGCACCCAATCCTGTAGCAGTACAAAGTTTCCAAGAAGGTACGGGCGACGACATGTAGGGAGGATATTCTTCTCGAGTTGCTCGATGTAACCGCCAGCGCTCACCTTCAGTCCGGGTCTACAAAGAAAATATCGGTCTTCCCATTCCAGGAACTTCCGGTCCATACCATCAACCGCGCCTTGGCGACTGCAATGAAGATGATATCCTGACCGTAGCGACGTTGTCGGAGTTGCTCGATGTCTTTTAGATCAAGAGTGCCGGTCTCCAGGTAGCTTTCCATGGGTGACTCCATACATGAAGTTTGCAGCTGTTTGGAGGTGACGTAAATTCCATAGGTCTTCTCCAGTCAGGCTGCGATTGGAAATGTCAATATAAAAAATGGAAATGGAAATGTATTTCGGTGTTCATGAAGGTGACGGGCGAGAGCCGCTCCTGCTTATCGAGGAACATCTTGGGTATCTTCCGCCCTGGTACTCGTATCCACGTCTTCTATCTGGGCTGCGTAAACTTTACTGATATGTGACTCGGCCAAAGTGTCTTTTTTGTTGCCCCCCTGTATAGTGCACGTGAAACGAGGAATATTGAGGAATGGAAAGATTCTCTCTGTAGGTAAAACTGTACCCCTCCTCCCTGCAGCCAATTCGGCCCCAGGAAGGGTTACAATGCTGCAAAAAAGCTGTTGATCATCAGTTTGTTCCGCCAGGCGAACTTGGCGAACTAGGTTGTACACACATCCCCTTACCCTCGCAAGTTGGCAACGTTTGAATGTATCCTTATCCGATTTTCCCTTTTTCGCTTTTATATGCATACTGTCCAAAAAGCTGTCGCAAAAAAAGACTTAATTCCTCGAGAATTTCACTATCTTCTGAAATGCTGACGTCGTATTTTCACTCCGTAAAGAAATAGTTGCAACTGAGATTAATCGTTATCGCTTCATTGAACATTCCGTTGCAGACTTCGATCCATGTGCTGAGGGTCCGTGTAAAAATGGTGCCACCTGTACGGCTAAGGTTGAAAATGGCAAGCCGAAATACGAGTGTTACTGTGCTCCAGGTTATGGTGGACCACACTGTGATGAACGTAAGAAACTTTTGAATGTTTTTAGTAGGTTGTACCTGGAGTTTCGAAACACCTTCCATGTATTGCTGTAGAAACCACTAGAAAAAATGTGGGTTCGACAAACGGGTCGCTTGTGGAGTACACTTTCACGACCTCTACGCTTATTTTGCTCATTTGCCTGCTGATTCCACTGCTGCTTCTCCAGTACTGTGTACTTATTGAACGCTTTATATTTACAAATTTGTATCGTATCAACGCAAGGCCGCAATCTGTAATACACATACCATTCTGCTTTATGGGCGCTTCTTCCGTTGGTGTTGTTATTCAAACCCGCTCGGGTGCTGCTCTTGTTTCCGACACTATTCATAAGTTGCGCTGATCAGCTGAATCCGCGGCAAGTAACCGTAGTATAGCAGAGAAGCTACCATGCAGAACGTAGACTAGATATCTCGTTGAATTGGGAAAGAACTGCGGAGCTGGAGTTTTGAATCTGCATGTCCTGGTTTAGCACCAGCTCCGAGTATGACCGGATACTATTATTTTCTTTTTAATTTGATTTGATTTGATTTATTACATGTACACATGTACATGAATCATTAGAAAAACAACAATTCAAAACAAACAACGTATGTCCATGGAACTAAAGTATATTTAACGAGAAAACATAAAAAGAGAAGAATGAAAAAAATGGAATAGTTAGCGCTATGGCACCGAGTCGACCTCCCAAGAATCAGCAGAAAATTTTACAGGGAAGAAACCGTAGAAGCTCTCATTTTAAGTAACAATGCAAAGCCCTTTTGAGCTGAGCTATGCTACCGGGCACGACATGCTTCTTTGCAAACTTACAAAATTCACTAGAAGCCCTCACAACAAAGAACTTAGCTCTGACATTTGATCTAGCCCTAGGGAAAAGGAGTTTAAATTTATCCCCTCTGGTGTTGGACGGACAAAGGGTGAGCGTGCCTTTTAAATCAACCACCGATCTTCCTGTCAGTACTTTGAACAACGTTATAAGGTCATTCTTTTTCCTCCTTTGGAGAAGTGATTCGATTCCAAGCATATTATTCCTAACAGTACTTCTTGGTATAGCACTATAGACAAACCCCAGAGCCCTAGTTAGAATTTTCCTGGTGAAGCTGTTCTGCACAGATTCCAGCCTGTTGCTGGCCCTCCTGCTACTGGGGTAGAAGACTGCAGATCCATATTCAACAATAGGACGGACATATGCTTTGTACGCCCTAATGAGTATGCAAGGGTCCCTCGTATGCAAGCCTCTCAGCAGCTGGAATAGCCTCTTCTCTGCTTTGTTCGCTATTGCCATGCAGTGGGAATTAAACGTTAGTTTGTGATCAATAATGAAACCTAAATCCCTTACTTCTTCTACACTTTTAAGTTGTTGTCCATCAATAGAATAATTGTTGCTAGATCGGGATCTTCCTAAGTGTAGAACTGAAGTTTTTTTCGTACGCTAGGGGCAGTTCCCATAACTTCGAGTATCTAACAACAGCATCTCAATTGCACTATCTTGCAACATTAGTGTCGTGTCATTTTCTAACCCCGCTCAAGCATTTGTCAGATTTTGATGTCGTAGGCGAAGACCTTACAAATACGCCAGGTAACTCGAACGTGAAAGATGCCAAACAACATTAATGGGTGAAGACGCCACCTCGATCGCGAGACTCCGCTAGCCCGGCCAAGCGGCCTTTTATTAGAGAATGTTTCATTAACGCGCACTTGAAACGATCTTTGCTCAAGGAAGGAAGCGATCCACGATACAATTCTTTGATGGACACCAACATGTCGCAGCTTCATAACTCAGTTTTGCGTGATTGACCTTGTCGAACGCCTTACAAAAATCAAAGTAAATCACGTCAACCTCCTTTTTTTCATCTGTAGCCGCGGTCCAATCGTTTAAGGATTCAAGCATTTGAGTCACAGTAGACCTCCCACTCCTAAACCCATGCTGACTATCCGAAAGAATCTTATTCTCTTCCAAATGAGCTGTAATTACCCTCTTAACAACCTTTTCGAAAACCCTGCAAAAAATGGAAGTAATGCTGACTGGTCTATAGTTAGTGGAAATATGATGAGGAGGTTTCTTGGGAATAGGCGTGATATATGAGTGCTTCCACCTATCAGGGACCTCCGCCCGAAAGAGACTCAAGTTGAAGATGTACTGTAAAGGGCCGACAATTGATGGCAGAACTTTCTTGATAAAGCAAAGAGGAATACCATCTGGAGTGGTCGAGTAACTACAGCTTCCACTTGGACAAGAGCCCAGATATTTCTTGCTCAGTAAACCATAAAGAATCCTGCATTTGAGGGAAACAACCAGTCCACTCAACATTACTTTCCACGTTGACATTCCTTTTACAAAAACACTTTCAAATATTTCTGCGAAATGTTCCGCCTTTGCTTCATCAGAGACAACAGCAGATCCATCAGGCTTAATCAAAGCGGGCAGCTTCTCTTTTGATTTCTTCTTAGAACTAATGTATTTGAATAGAGCTATATTGCTACCATTTTCAATAATTCTTTTTTCCACAAGGCAATTAAACTTGTACATCTTTTTCTCAAACTTTCCTGCTATGTTCTTATAAGCTTGCCAATCACTGGATGTATTTGAAGACACAGCCTTCCTATATGACTCTACCTTTTTAAAGAATAGCGAATGAAGATATGGCGGGATATGCACCTTACTATTTCCAACCCTACGCAATGGAACAAACTTTTCAATACAATCTCTAAGGATAAATAGCATCATTTCATACATATCATTGACGTTGAGACCGTAGAAAGATCCATACCAGTCGATGGAGTCAAGGTAAGAGCAAATCAGACTGAAGTCAGCTTTTTTGAAGTCTCGCCTGAGAGAAGGTTTAATCTCCTCACTGCGAATTCTTACTTGAAATTCTATGCTAGCATGGTCACTCGAGCCAATCGGTGGGTCCACTCTGACCCCACTGACAAATGACAGCTCAGTGCAAAATAACAAGTCCAAAATATTGTCACCCCTTGTTCCTCTATCCACATACTGGTGGAATCCGTTATTTCTTACCAGTTCTAAAACTTCTGTGAAACGCCAATGCCCTGAGAATCCGTGCTGGACCAATCTATGTCGGGGAAGTTGAAATCACCAAGGTAGAAGGCAAACCTCCACACCAGCGCATAGGTCACTAATGCATTTAATCATCATATCACATGTTTCACTTGAGCAACTAGGAGATTTGTAGCATAGAATTACCCTACACTTGTCTCCATCCACATATAGATCTGCAGCAACTACCTCGTATCCACCTTGTACAGCCTCACCAAAAATCAAAATAGGACAGAGAGTATGTTTGATCAATAGTAGGACACCCCCACCCTTTTTTCTTTGCCTATCACACCTAAAAATTCCGTAGCCCAAAACCAAATCTCCAAGTAAATTAGAAACTTCGACGTTACTATTCAACCAGGTTTCTGAAAGAGCAATCATTCCGTAATTCTTTTGGGAGAGTAGGAAACTCAGTGAATTCCTATTTTTAGTAATAGAACGAATATTAGCCATCAAGCATTTAACCCCATTTCGAGAGCTACACGGATCTGTATAAGAACTGTGTTGAACCTTGGAGAGGGCGTGCGGTGCCACCTCAGAAGTTACAAGCGCAGAGGAGTTATTAGAAAATGAAGAAATCGAATCTAAATGTCCGTAGACCATTCACGAGTTTCCCACTTGGTGAATCAGCGATAGAATCAGTCTGCGATGCAGAATTATGACAATCATTGGAAGGAACAACATACACCATCAATATGAGATGAGGTCACAGTGAACTTCCTGAGACAGTGCAGCTAGGCATAAGCCGTGCCTTCGAATAAGAGATTCGATTGGCTTTCATACGATCACGCTCAGACTTGGGAAGCGATGGCCTTATAAAAATGCCCTTTTCATGAAAGTACCTGAGTTGAGGGCATCTTTTTAATACCAAAGAGACGAAGAAAGACGATGGAAGAACAATTTTCAGAAGTCTGGCCTTATTAGGTGTAAAGCGGCCCATTCTATAAACCGATACCGGACAACAGTCAACAGAAGAGAAAATCAAATATCTGTCTGATACAAGTAGTGTCATGTATGACCCTAGCAGAAGCAATAGATGCGGTACTTTCTTTGACGCCAACAACAACGGACGGAACGCCTACGCTCACATTCGCTATCATCATGAAAACATGAGAAGGTACAACAGGCTTTGGAATATTCTGAGAGGAAGATGAAGATAGCGACTGTTTCAAAACACTGATCTGAGACCTCAGATAATCCACTTCATTCTGCAACTCACTGTTTCGCTTACGAATGTTGCTGTTTTCCTCCAACAGTTCTTTGTTTTTCGATATTACCAAGCCAAGCTGATCTTTCATTTCCAATAGAGAACCCAATGCTGCCTTAAGGTGAGGCGGCAGCGTGGGGTCTTCTATAATAAGATCGATTGCTCGCCCGAGATCCATATCCGCTACCGGACTCGTTAACTCCATCCTATGCTTTTTACCGCGACGACTCTGAACTGAATTCCGCGCAGTCGGAGTATCCATGGATTCGGACTAAACAGAAATAGCAAACAGATTCACCTTGAATGGTGGCTTATTGCGAAAAAAATGTCCCCAGCCACCAGGGAGGATGCTTGACCGCCTTGCGTTGACCGACCACCAATATGAATCGATAGCTGCCCTGCCTCGTAGTGGACACTCGACAGTTCCGAATACAAGGAAAAAAAGCACAATTCAGATGAATAGTCGGGCTGCAGCAGTAATGATGCTCAGAAGTATCGCAGTAGTAGACGATAGAATTCCTTGAAACAAATGAGCGGAGAGTAAACAGGCCAGACGATATTATCCTTTGATCCGGCAGAGCTCAGGGTAGACCGACCGCTCACGCGGACCGCACCGGTAGAATGAGGAGATCCACGCAGCGATGTACAGGAGAAGGGTGCTACAGTTGCCTAAAGTTTTAGTTGTTACATCCGCTCAGTTGGCTCGCCCAACGACGCCTCTTCACATCTAGCGCGAGGGGCCCAGTTGTTATGTATTGGAGCGGCCCAGTTGTTATGTATTGGAGCTCACCAATGATTCAAACAATCATACAGATAACCAATGCAAAAGCTCGACTTGCATTGCTACCGCAATCCTCAACTCGTACGCAATAAGGTTTTAGAAAGTTTCTTTGTATTGCGAGTTTAGCTTCGGTGTCTTTGTTGTTATTCGTTTTTTTTCTTTGCACTGGATGATAGATGCGAGAAAGCGCCAGCTGCACGGAGACCACAGGGCGGCGAGACTTCAGGGAGCGATTTTGTTTAATGTTTCATGGAAATCCTGTTGCTCTTCTCTTCTTGGGGAAATCATTATTAGCTACTGCTTCTTAACTGAACAACAACTCTCCATAATACTTAATCGCCAGAACGGTCTTGAACCTAGCCTTCGCATCATGCCAACCTGTTCAGCAATTTGCCAAGTTGTCAAAGTAATCAATAGGACCCCATCAATTCCTGATCCCGTATTTCTCTGAAGGTCTGGTGTATTTCTCCTTCCCTACGCGTGTTTATTTATGGCTGTTTTTATTGTTTTAACTGTTTCACTGTTGCATTTTACTGCTTTGATGCTGCTCGTAAAGAGCTAACAGAGAATACCGCAATAGGGGAGCAAACATGTTTCGAAGCTCCTATACCAACAAAAGTACATGAAAATGTGAATAAACAACCTCCCTGCGGAGATTTAGCTGAGAAAATGAGAGGCTGTTTGAGCTGGTACTGT